CTATCCCCCACGTTCTAGTTGAGATGGTATAACCCAAGAGGCAAAATAACACTTGCTACTGTTGTTGCGAGTTGCCATTCGTTCTACTAAACCATTAGTCAAACGCCATCATGCCTTCTGTCGTTATTACACAAACAAAAATCTCTTTACTGTTACTAGTGTTAGTGTCTCAATATGGCTCCGCTCGTGAAAGCAATACAACGAACTCAAACGCGTCTTCGTTCAATGTTGTCAACTAACATCCGGATTATGTAAGTTTTCCTCAATTCTCTGGAGAAATTTTCATAAAAATTTGAAAAACCCGGAATTCCGGGAAAATCCGGAGGACTTTCATCTCTGATATATCTGTAGTGATTTCATGATAATTTTCTCATGTGAAATGACTGCCTTGGCTCAGTAAAAGTTGGGAAACGCTGCTCGACTGGGTTGAGATCAAGCCACTGAACAACATTAAATTTCTTTCGATTATCCTAGTTTTGTGTGATCGACAGACATTTTGCTGTTCTCATATGTTTCATGGTCTTGATCGACTCGCTCAATTTTGTGATGATTTAGGACGATGCAGCAGGTGTTGGAGGTAGAAATAAAAATACACTCAGTCACTCAAATATATTAATAACCATGTCACGTGTCAAATATCAGGCCGACGCTTTCGGAAAACACACATAAAAAGCAACAAGAACAACTGTCAAGAATTGAATTTGACTACCTGTATTTTCATTGCATTGCATTCAAAAAGTCAATATATTCGCCTTCAACATACCTGGCTGTCCCACATTGTTAAGGCGTGTCATTCGGTGGCGGGCATTGGGTAGGAACATGTGGACATCTGATAGCACGCTATCATGTTGAAAGACGATCTGGTTCATGGCTTTTCGATCATGGTCCGAGAACAGTAGAACCTCTGAGTCATCTGCTTTCAAATGTCTGAGGAATTGTGAGAGTAAAAATAGATAGTGAGTTACAACACTAGTTACACTACCAGTTAAACATTTACGTTTCCAATCAAGTATTATTCAACAGTTAATTGGCCTAGGTATCTCCAGAGAAAAAGTGCTGTGATTCCGCGGAGAAAAAGATTGATTCTGCCGAGAGCAAATCCTAATTCCACTGCTTGAAAGTTAATTTTCCACGGGCAACAAAATGACCTAAAATTACCAGTTATAAAGCAAATTAATGTCATTGTGAAGTAAGAATTCTTTTCAAAACTGCATCAGATTTATATGCCGCTTATCTGTACAACTGGACAATCCAAGCGTTTACAATGGACACATTATTCATTCGGGCGGCCCAGTGGTAGAGTGGTTAGCATGTCGACCTCACAGTGCTGATGTTCAATTCCAGCTCCGGCCTCACTTTGTGGAAGTTTGCATGTTCTCCCCGGGCCTGCATGTGTTTTCTCTGGGTACTCCGGTTTCCTCCCACATTCCAAAAATATGCATGGCAGGCTGATCAACACTCTAAATTGTCCCTCGGCGTGAGTGTGAGCGCGAATGGTTGTTTGTCGATGTGTGCCCTGCGATTGGCTGGCAACCATAGTTCAGGGTGTAGCCCGCCTACTGCCCGAAGACAGCTGGGGTAGGCTGAAGCACGCCCCGCAACCCTTGTGAGGATACAGCGGACCGGGAAAATGGATGGCTGGTTGAATATTTTAACTGACAATTTATTATGCGCGGCAATTACATGACGTCATAGTTGGCATCATTTGTCGACATCATCGTTACTCGATGTCTCCTTATGTGATGTCGCTTTCTGGGCATCTCCATGAAATGAAGAGAAAGAAAAGTATTGCCTCATTTTCTCATAATAATTCCACCACTTCTTGCATCGCTCCTCTGTCAACGTAAGATTTTTAAAAAATGAGCCCCCTGCAGGTTGATTCATATTTACTTCCGTAAACACTGTCCGTTTTTTGCGCGTCACTCAACATCGTGCTTTGTGTGCTATGTACAGTATGTAAATGTAATGGAATGTAAATGTTGTCTATGATAATAATTGCTTGCAGGAGTCACAAAAAGCACGATTCAAGATGGGATCGGCAGTGCTACGCGAATATATGGAGCAAAGTAAATGCTGTCTGTCGGGTATTAAACGCCCCCCTCGCCCCATGCATTTCATGTGCCCTCCCCTGAAAGCCGGGCTCCGGTGACGGGTATACCTCTGCGATGACTGTCTCCCATGGCGTCAAGCACGGACACTTTTTTTTCGGGGGGCTGGGGGGGGGGGTACTGGGACGCGAGCTCTTTCAAAGCAAGAGGACGGGCGCAGACGGAGGACGATTATTTTATGAAGGGTACCCCGGTCGCGGACAGAAAGCGGACCGTTAAAACAAGGCTAAGTACCCATTTCTGTTTTTTTTTTAAACACTGTCCATTTAAAGTTAATTATACACATTGTCATCTCAAAATCCATATTCAAGAGATTAAGAAGGACCAAAATAGAACAGGTCTGTGATGTCTTGTGTGAGTAAAAAAAATGGCTCTTTAGCATTTATAAATAAATTAAAGCGTTGCACTTCTTTTTCAAAAACATTCTGAGCTTTGAGTGTTGATATTTTTTCTAAACATCTCAAACTTTGCACCTTATGAGAACGGCCCCCTGTCTCGAGACCCGACAATCTCGCACCTCAGCAACAAAACTGGATGTCGTCATTAAATGTGCAGACGGCAAAGTTGTCTCGAATACGTTTTGTCATACCAAAAAATACAAACATTCATAATACAAATTTTTAAACGTGAATATTGCCGACCTCTCTGCGGTGACTGGCAGGCTACACACCTTCTTTTCTTGACCGGCCACAGCATGATGTACCATCGTAACTTGTCCGGACTAAACAAAACACTCCTTCGTTTACTGGCCGTCATGAGAGTGAAGCCACCAGCAGCCATCTTACGTTGCCACTTTCTCAGCCCACCTTATATGAATACTGTCAATTGTTTATACGTTATTTTCTGTCTCTACGGCAAAAAAAATTCTCCGTGTATAACATAGGGTGGTACCAATATGGCTGGGAGAACCACTTCGTGAATATTTTAGAATGTAATTAAAAATTTTGAATTTTCTTACCCAAGGTATATCTTTGAGTGCGACGCAAAGATTCGCCTGCATCAGGTTGTCAGAATTATCAACATTGAAATAAAAAAATGGCTCATTGGGGAAAAAAAATCGCTGCAAAATGTAAAACTAACCTAAGTCACAAGTCATGACACAGTGATAAAATACTCTTCATCGTTGATGCAAACAGTCAAGTTGGTTATTTGCAGGCTCTTAACTCTCTACGAAGGCATCCTGGCGTAAAACAGTCACTGATTACAGTATGTATTTACAGCGAAAAATACAGCTGTCAGTAGCAGTGGCAACGTGAGATGGCTGCCCTCTGGCTTCAGTCACAAGGGCGCTTCTAGCTAGTCCATTCATATATTCGTCCGTGCAATCGAGGCAGACAGTAAAACCTCCAAAAATTAAATAAACATACAAAATATTGCTTAAATCTGTCATTAATCAAAATCAGAATTAAATCCATAAATGTGTCATGAATACCAAATCTTCAAAATGTCAATTCATATCATGTAGACACATGAAATGTGTCTACATGATATACACAAGAAATATGGCTATTTTACCATTTTATTTATTATTTCATGGTCCCGTGTTACAATATCATCCAACACAAAATTAAAAAAAAAAAAAAAGAAAGAAAGAGACTTTACTAGTCCAATAATGTTTGGTCTATGAATGGCAATATTAGAATTACTACAATGTTTTAAATGTCACAATTTGTTATTTATTGTAGTCGTACTTCAATGCAATACAGTCGAGCCCATGTAAATTATTTATGGGTACCATACTTGCAAGTACATGACCTACTTTATGAAGTGAATTTCTGCTATTCATGAACTACAATTATAACGATTTGCTTCAGGAACTCTGACGTGTCAATTAAAAGCGTTAAGTTATTCTGGTAAATGCAGAATTCTGTGCAAAAGCATCGGCAGTTCGATCTCATGTATGACTGGTGAGCGTTGTACTGTATTTACCAGTGGCGGGCCGTGCATTTCAACCTTAGGCCTTCAGTGACGTCACATACATACACAATATAGGCTCGTCAAGCAGCACTTAATTTCAGGAGCATTTAAAACCATCAAGTATGCATTCACAATTAAGAGCAGGAAACTAAATTTACAGATAGTCAAAAATAAAAAGATGATTTAAAAATACGAAATAAAATGCCACCCAAATTACGCTGTGTGATCTTAAACAAGTCTATCCAATAAATTGCGCAATGTCGCAGTTTCATACAAGACACCAACCAAACAATAACAAAAACTGTTCTTTAAAAATAAACAGATCATTTGCATTTTGAAAATCGGCGCTTCAACAGCAAATAACTGAAAATGTTGAGCAGCTGAGATTGAACGAGCTTTCGTGCACGAAGGTGACTACAATGCGCCATTATAAATTGCAGGTGAGCAGATTTATTTGATAAATTTTTGTATCTTTGTCATTTTATTTCGTTACCATGAATTTAATACTAACGAAATAAAATGACAAGAAGAAATGTAAAATAAAATTCATTTACTCACCAATGTAGTGCCTTTTCACTGAGGTGCCGATCTACGCGAGTGTCCCCAAACGTTTTTAAACGCACCATAGCTTGTAAGTGTCCAGCCGTTTCCTTGCTGCCTTAATAAAACAATCCAGTGTGGCTCCAAACACCAAATCGGTCAGTTGCAAGCAATAGGCATTCCCAGCAGTACGAGTTGCAGCATTTCACAGAGGCTGTGAGCCACGGGTAGCGTTCATAATTGCTCGTCTGAAAATGACGGACAAACCCTTTTCCTTGCTGGGACAGGCTAGCTAGCGCAGGAGTTGGGCGACCTCTTCGCACAACATCCAGCTTTTGGTGGAAGGTCCGTCTTGAAAATTGTGTGGAAAGTA